GAGTTGAAGTGGTTGTTGGTGTGAGTGTGAGTGAATGTGTGTGTGGGTGAGTGTGAGTGAACGTGTCATCAAGTGTGTGTGTGACAGTGAATTGTGTGTGAGTGCATGAGTATAAGTGAATATGTGTGTAACTAATCAAATGTGTGTGTGTGAACGTGACTGAAAGTGAATTATGTGTAAGTGAATGCATGTGAGTGTAAGCAAGTGTGTAAGTGAATGTACGTTTGTGCGAGACCAAGAGAATGTGAGCATGAGTGTGAATGTGTGTGCACGTGCACACTTGTGCACAGAAAGAGTCGACTGGGGTGGTTAGTTTCCCCAGCCAGCCCCCTGGCCTCAGCTCATAGCAGCCAGTCTGGAGGCCTGGACAGGCCTGAAAGCTGGGGAGGGTATCTAGCGTTTTCTTCTCAGGGATGAGGCGGCCTGGGTCCTGGTTTCTGGGGTGGAGAATGGAACACGTGTGGTTCTTGGCAGCGGCCTGGCTGGGGGCCTGTGGGGCTGGGGGGCCGGCTCTGCCGACGTGGGCCGTTCTCCAGGCTCCAGTTGGGGTCAGTTGGGCCCGGCGAAGCTTTAGCACAGAGGCGCCCGGAGTGAGAGCTTGGGCCTGGTGTGTCTTCGCTGACACAGGAATGCGGGGTCCTGTGAGGGTCAACTAGCGTAGACTCGGCCCGGTGTCACGGAACGTGGTTTGCCTTTGGAGGTGGCAGAGTCACCTAGAAGCGGGAATACTTCCTGGCGTCCAGAGCCGGCCTGACGGGCCTGCCTGGCACGGCTGGAGATGAGCCAGGTGGCCGTGTGGCCCCCTGCTGGGGCTGTGGGTGGCCAGGTGTCTCGGCAGCCCTTCAGACCTCATCTTCCCAGGCGCCGCCCGCACTGTCCCCGGGGTCCATGGTGCCCTTGCTAACCCTCGTTGTCTCTAACGCCCCCCCGCTAGCCAGCCGCTCCGCTCTGTCCCCCTGACGGGGTGCCGTCCAGTAGTCTGTCTGACGTGTGTGTAGTAGTGAAGCATCCTCCCCTAACTGTGAACCGGAAGCACCATCCTCATGATGTTCTATGTTTTCCTTTCAAGAACTGGGTTTCTCTTGAGGAGAATACAGGTTCTCAGCCCCTCAATTTATCAATACATGGGAGACCAGGCACCAGTGAAGCGTGACAAATTTGTTTTGGTTCTGTGAACCCAACAAGAGAATGACAATTTTGGTGTTCTCTGTATCTTAACACTGTGTACCAAGAGGGAGAATTCCTGAATTAACGTGTAAAGTCTGCCTTAAAATTCCACTCTCCTTAGCCATAAGCGATCCTGGTATTGTATGGGAGGCTGTGTGTTCTGACTCAAAATGAACACGGGTTCTTAAAGACAAATATTTAAATCCGAATTTAGTAGTTGTGTTAAATTCGGTGGTTGCTGGAGACAGAACCGAAATCTACTCCTAAACACTCAGAATTGCCTCCAGGGTGACAGCCTGGGGTGTATTTTTCCACAAGCGAAGCCCACGTCTGTTCGCTCTCTTCCCTCTCTGTTTTTCTTCTGTAACCGGATTTTTTGTGTGTGTGGCAGGTGGAAGGTTCAAGAAGGAGATTGTGGTTGATGGACAGAGCTATCTGCTACTGATTAGAGATGAAGGGGGCCCCCCAGAGGCACAGGTGAGTAATACATGCATTCTTGGTAACCAGCTTTTTACCTTTGGTTTCTGTGTAAGGAATCCTTGAACACTGCAAATGGTTAATGTGCTCGGCTGCAAACAGAAAGGTTGGAGGTTTGAGTCCACCCAGAGGTGCCTTGGAAGAAAGGCCTGGCGATTCACTTCCAAAAAGTCAGCCATTGAAAACCCTGTGGAGCACCGTTCTACTCTGAGTTACACACAGATGGGGTCACCATGAGTTGGAGTCTCCTTGACAGCACCTGGTTACTGGTTTTCTCTGTCAAGTTCTGTTTCAACAAGTGGGTCTAGAAGTTAGCCAAGTGATCTCAAAGAAAGTGATAATAGAAACCCAGTAAATCAATATTTAAAAAAAAAAAAAAAAGTCCCACGAAGGGTCTTCTCATCGCTGAGAAACCAGTTCTGTTGTTCCTTTAGTCTAAACCCTAGAGGGAAGTTTGGCCTGTTCGGCTGATTTTTCACCTTCTGTGTTTTTAAGAGAGAAAGAGAAGAAAAATCTGCATTGATTGGTCAGCTCGGTGGAATTGGCACCCAGAAATTTCCGTGGTGTTATTTTTCCCTTTCCGTAGGTGGTTTGGAGCCCAGGTGGGGCAGTGGCTAAGAGCTCGGCTGCTAACCTAAAGGTTGGCAGTTTGAATCCACCAGCCGCTCCTTGGAAGCCCTATGGGACAGTTCTACTCTGTGCTATAGGGTCGCTGTGAGTCAGAATCGACTCCATGGCAATGGGTTTGGTTTCTGGAGTTGTAGTGGCGCAGTGGTTAAGAGCTTGGCTACTTACCAAAAGGCCAGCAGTTCGAATCCACCAGCTGCTCCTTGGAAACCCTAGGGGGCAGTTCTGCTCTGTCCTATAGGGTCGCTATGAGTCGGAGTCAACTCGAGGGCAGTGAGTTTGGTTGTTGAGTTTAGGGAATGCTGAGTCTCCAGGAAGTGACGACTTCTAGAGAGGCGGGCGGTTGGGAATGGCAGAGACACAGAACCTTTCCCCACACTGAGAAGGTGGAGCGGTGAGGACAGCTACCTAGGTCATGCTTTTATTGTGATGAAGAGGGTCTGTATTAGAAACAGCCCCTCCCGCAAACCCACCTTGGCGAGGGTTAAGGCTGCAGAGCACTGGCCCATGATTGCTAACAGCATGGCCTGTTTTATTTTTTAATTTTTTTGATGCTTTACTTACCAAGTATTGCCCATAGTCCCGCACGTCGGCAGACGGAATCCCAGCATCCTGTCTCCTGTGGCGTTTTCCCTCCGAGAAAGGTCTTTTCTTCACTATCAGGGGTGATATGTCTTTTGTCGTCCTTGCTGTTGAGTGTTGTCAGGTCGGTTCTGACTCCTGGCGACCCTGTGTGACAGAGTAGAACTGCCCCAGAGGGTTTTCTTGGCTGTAATATTTATGGGAGTAGATCGCCTAGGCTTCCTCCCGTGGAGCCGCTGGGTGGGTTTGTACCGTCGACCTGTCCTATAGATTCGCCACGGGTCAGAATCAACTGAATGGCACACGGCAACAACGTACCTGTGGATGTGATCGCATTTGGGAATAGGGTTTTCTTTGTTATGTGAATGAGGCAAGACCAGTACAGATGTGTGTTAAACGTAATGACTTGAGATATGAGAAGAGCAGGTTAGACGCAGAGACAAACAAGCATGCACGGGGGAGGGTAGATGCCACGTGAAGATTGCCAAGGATCCCAGGAACTCTGGGACTACGGAAGCTGAGACGGGGATCTTCTCCCAGAGCGACAGAGAGCGAGCCTTCCCCGACAGCCAGCCTGAATTCAGGCTTCTGGCCTCCTCGACTGAGAAAATAAATATCTGTTCACGAAAGGCACCCGCTGTGGTATTTCTGCTACAGCAGCACTAGGTAACTAAAACAGCATGTGACTGGGGGGCCCACCTGGGGGTCCGCCATGATCCCACAGACTGGTGGCGGGACCAGGCCCCAGAAGTTTCTGTCTTGGCGTCTGATCATGAGAAGGGGTTCAGTCAGCTTCCTAGGGGTTAGTCCCTATTCTAATGCTTACTTTCTCTGGAAGTGTTACTTAGCTAGAAGTTTACTCTTAGTTCAAGACTTCTACTTTTGGGGATATCAAGATACAACCTTTTAAAATTACAGGCAGGATTTTATACCAGATTAAACAGAGCGGACTTAAACATTCAAGATAGAAAAGTCTTTTCAAGCTACCACCTCTGGGTACATGCCAGCGCGATCTTTCTTTTCACCGTTGCTGCTGTTGTTGGGTGCTGGGGAGTTGATTCTGACTTCTGGTGACTCCATGTGACAGAGGAGAACTGCCCCGTAGGGTTTTCTTGGCTGTAATGTTTATAGGAACCGATCGCCAGGCCTTTCTCCCGAGGAGCCGCTGGTAGGTTTGAACTGCGGACCTTTCTGTTAGCAGCCAGGCACTTAACCATTGCGCCATTGAGGTTCCTTTCTTTTCAGTATTACAGATCATTTAATGCAGTCTGTCCAAGGTAGTGACGTCACAAAAGACATGACAAGGCTTCTTGTGGCAGGTTGTGTGATCTCAGGCCAGTGTAGAACCCTGCCAATTAACTGGCCTTCCCCCCACCCTGCAGGTTGGTCATTAAATATTCACCTGGATGCCACGAATGCTTAAGTGTTCGACTACTAGCTGAAAGGTTGGCGGTTCGAACCCACCCAGAGACATCTCTGAAGAAACGCCTGGCGATCTGCTTCCGAAAGGTCACAGCCTTGAAAACCCTATGGAGCAGGTCTACTCTGCACACATGGGGTCGCCGTGAGTTGGAATTGACTTGATGGCAGCCAGCAACAGCAATTACCTGCTAGGTGGTAGGGTACTCAAAATATACCCTTAAAAGACAGGGAGAAAAATCTGCCATCAAGTTGACTCTGACTCGTGGTGACCCATGTGCGTCAGAGTAGAACTGTGCTCCATAGGGTTTTCAACGGCCAACTTTTTTTTTTTTTTTTCAGAAGTAGATAGCCAGGATTTTCTTCTTTGGCACCTCTGGGTGGACTTGAACCTTCAGCCTTTTGGTTACAAGGTGGTTAGCAGCACTGAGGGACCTTGGTTGGGGCAGATGGTTTGCACTTGACTGCTAACCTAAAAGTAAGTTGATAGTTTGAACTCACCCAGCAGTACCGCAGAAGGAAAGGCCTGGTGACTGCTTCCTTAAAGATTATAGCCAAGAAAACCCTATGATGTTGTGCAGTTCTACTCTGTAACACATGGGGTCGCTGTGAGTTGGAAGGAACTGGACAGCAGCAGGTTTGTGGTTTGGTTTATGTTTTAAATGAGACAATATACGCCTCACAATATGGTTATTGACAAGAGGAAGGATTTGTTGTAGTTAATAGGAAAGCAGATAAAGCAAGAATAAAATGACGAGTCAGGTAGTTGTGGGTTTGGTGGATGGATGGATGATGGATGGATGGATGGACGATGGGTGGAAGGATGGATGGACGATGGGTGGAAGGATGGATGGAAGGAAGGAAGGATGGACGGATGGATGGATGGGTGGTTGGGTGGATGGATGGATGTAATGAGCTAAAAACAAGTAAGATTTCCTCATGGGATACCATAAGGATTCCTGAAATGAAGCACGTTATTCACAATGCAAAGCGCTCTCCTGATGGAGGAGTGGACCGCTAGCCACAGGGTGGGGGGTCAGGACGGTTGGGGTTTCTGAGCAGGCTGTGGGGCCCCAGAGGAGGAAGCCCATCTCAGCACCAGGGGCCAGCAAGGCTTCCCAGAGGCACGCCAAAGTCTGGGTCATTTCAAATGAAACATGCCAGAGGAGCGGAGGGCATTGAGTGGGAAGACACAAGCTCAGCGTGGCCCTCACTGCCTCCCCCTTCTGGAAGGCCCTGGCGTGGAGGAGGCGTCTGCCTTCGGTCTGCAGGCTGGGGTTGGCCGAGTCAGAGGGTGGACATTCCGGAAGGAACACAGCGGCCATGGGAAGCACGCATGGTTTGTGTGACCTGGAGTCAGGTGGCCTGGGTGGGGAGTGATGAGGGTCCCACTCCTAGGGAGCGCAGAGGCATGGGTTGCTCAGGAGAAGGGTGTTGTCAGGACGTTAAGGACGCAATAACAGCACGTTATAGAGGAAGTCAAGCAGCAGGTGGCTGACGCACGGTGTCCGGGGCTCACGGCCAGCCTGACCGCCTGTGCCCAGGACTCACAAGCCGTTAACGACAGTGTCTCTCTTCTTCACCCCATTTCTTCTCTCCCCGCCCCCTTCTTTCTCCCCTAGTTTGCCATGTGGGTGGATGCGGTTATATTTGTCTTCAGCTTGGAGGATGAAATAAGTTTCCAGACTGTTTACCACTACTACAGTCGGATGGCCAACTACCGGAACACGAGTGAGGTTCCTCTGGTCCTAGTGGGAACCCAGGGTGAGTGACGTCACGCCCCTGGGGTTTCTTTTTAGATTCCAGCAGCCGAGCGTGAACTGGATTCGTGGGCTATAGGACATGGATATAGAGGAATTTGAAAACGGTTTAAGGAAGAAATAATATCTGCTGAAGGCTCACATTTTACAGTGAGAACCCATGAAACTGAAATTAACTGTCACGTTTTCTGATTTGATTCTATGGAGAAACCAACCACGCAGTCAACACTCACAAAATAAAACATACACACACTCACACACTCACTCACTCTGTGTGTGTGTGTTAAACCCAGAAACAAAACCTGTTGCCCTTGAGTCAATTCCGACTCATACCGACCCTGTAGGACAGAGTAGAACTGCCCCATAGCGTTTCCAAGGAGTCGCTGGTGGATTCAAACTGCCGACCTTTTGGTTAGCAGCCAAATTCTTAACCACTGCGCCACCAGGGCTCCTTTTTCTACATTAGGAGATCCTAATTCTCTCTGTTGTAGAAAAACAATTTATAAGCCGTCTAAAAGCTCATTCGACACATCTTTAAAATACTGATTACTGGTGGGGTGGGGTGTCATTAAGCGTGTGACTGCTAACTGAAAGGTCGGCAGTTCCAACCCGCCAGCCATTCCTCAGGAGAAAGATGTGGCAGTCTGCTTCTGTAAAGATTACAGCCTTGGAAACCCTATGGGGAAGTTCTGCACTGTCCTGTAGGGTCGGTAGGAGCTGGAATCGGCCCAGTGGCAGAGGCTTTGGGTTTTGGCTTAGCAGAGTTTTGATGGATCTCCTCTGTTTTCAGTGTCTGATGGCCAGCGTCTTACTTCTAACCCGGCTGTTCCTCCAGCCATGTTTCTTGCTTTCTTCAAGGTCACTTAAGACTTGGCCTCTTAGTGGAGTGACCTTCACATGGAATCGGACACAGTGTCCTTGTTCTTGATCACAAGTCCATTGTCGTAGTGGCATTTAGCTTTCGGGTCCAGTTAAGTTGTCACATAAAATTTTTAAAAAATAAGATGAAGATTGGCATTAAAACTGCTTTGTCAGAAATATGGATAACTTAAGAAATAGTAATTTCAAGGAAAATTAGATTATTCCCACACGTTTTTGTCAACAAACTGTTTTTGCTAATTCTTTTTAGAATTAGCACATGTGGGATACCCTGATGTAAGACTTTTCCAAATAAGAAATCACCTCCGTGGAGCAAGCAGGAATGGTTAACCACATACATTTCACTACTGACAGTATAGAAGTCCCTGGGTGGTGTAAATGGTTAAGCACTGGACTACTAACCAGCAGGCTGGCAGTTTGAACCCACCCAGAGGCGCTGTGGAAGTAAGGCCTGGCGATCTGCTTCTGAAAGGTCACAGCCTTGAAAACCCTATGGAACAGTTCTACTTCTGCACACCTCGGGTCGCCATGAGTCAGAACTGACAGCATCAACAGCAGCCTAGAGTATAAGTAAGAGAGAACTCTGGCAAAAGTAATCAGATGCTGTGGCAGGAATCTGGGTGGGCAAGCTGGGAATCTGGGAATGGGTGTGTATCCTGAAAGAAATAAAGACACCGAATAACAACATTCTCTGAGAGAGCTCAGTGTAAAATGTTAGAGCTGGCTTTTCATGGAGAACATGGACACCCCTCACCCCTTGTTTTCTTTTTAGCGTATGTAATTCATAGGGTCATTTGTAACTGAAACCCTTCAGGTTGAGAGAGATACATTTAGCCTAAAACTGGTTACAGGAGAGGTTCTTCATGCTTAAAGCACCCTCTAGTGGTTTACACGAAGTAAAGACTCCAGTAAAATGTCTGTGGTTCTTGTTACATTGTTGTTAGCGGCCGCGAGTCACCTGCAGCTCTTGGTGACTCCCGGCACCTCAGAACACAATGTTGCCAGCTCCTGCGTCATCTTCAAGACCGCTGGCATGTTCAAGTCTGTCATCGCGGCCACTGTGCCATTCATCTCACCAAAGGTCTCCCTCACCCTCTCTGCCCTTGACTTCACCAGAGATGATGTCTTCTTCCAGAAATTGGTCCTGAGTTGCTTTATCCAAAGTTGGACCTGTTCTGTTGTGATCCATGAGATTCTCATTGGCTAATTTGCGGAAGTAGATTACCAGGCTTTTCTTCCTAGTCTGTCTTAATCTGGACACTCTGCTGAAACCTGTCCACCAGGGGTGACCCTGCTGGTATTTGAAACCAGTGGCATAGCTTCCAGCATCACACAAGCCACCGTAGTATGACAGACTCTGTAGTTGAGTATATAAAGATGGTCCATTTGACCGAAGTCTTGAAAATTCTCATAAATAATGTTTTATAGTGAGTAACTTCTAAAACAGATTCTGCATAAAGCTGCCTTGAAGTGGAAGAGATGGATTTCAGATAAGCATCTGGAACAGGACCAGACACCTGATAAGGGCTCAGTAGACATTTATTGGATGAATCGATGGATGGGTGGCCACAGCTGGAAGAATGTAGCTAACATACAGAACACATTTAGCAGGGCGCTTTGTGCTTTGCAGAAACTGCAATTAGTGGCTGCGTTTGTTGTGTTTTTTTCACCCCTTCATTTCCTTTCTAAAGCACTTTCCGCTGGATCCGTTTAACCGCTTCTTTCCAGTCTCTTTAGACATTCTTTTATTTGTTTTAGAAGTTCTCCTCTAAAACAGATTTCTACTAATGAATGACTGTTCTGGTGTCTGAGACTGTTATTTGGGGGATGAACTGTATTTTTAAAACTCCAGGTTCTTCAAAGAACCACATCACTTCCGAGTAAGGCACAGGTTTGAGCACCCGGGGGTCTTAAGTGGAGGGAAGTCCTGGGAGTGGCTTGTTATCACCACGCTGTTCCTTGTTGTCTGTGCGTTTCAGACGCGATAAGCTCCATGAACCCGCGGGTCATCGACGACACCAGGGCGCGGAAACTCTCCAATGATCTGAAGAGGTGCACCTACTACGAGACGTGTGCCACGTACGGGCTGAACGTGGAGAGGGTCTTCCAGGACGGTAAGCGTCTGTTCGTGTGAAGGTGTTGTGAGGGCTTCGAGGAACCCATTCTCTCCGAAGGTCATTCTCATCCAGCCATCTTTGTCTATGGGGAGGACAGAAATGCATCATTCTGTGTGCGGACATTCGTGTTGAATCTGAGTGCCACATTCTAGAGGGTTCTGGGTGCTTACAGTTTTCAGGGACAAGGAAATGTTTACCGTGATCCCATAATGGATTTTGTGTGTCACATCCTACGACCTCTTTGTGTAGAGGATGAAAGATTCCCTGAGCTGTCATTTATGCACCTTCTCTATCAAACTTACATGCTGGAATTACTCATTCTCAAGTCCAGCCCATCTCTTAAAAAAAATGGTTTAAATACTTAATGTGTGAGTTTGAGGAGAATAAACTGAAAGGGGAGACCGTCAAGTTTAGACCAAAAAAAAGTCACGGTTGGAAGAGAGCCTGGCCAGCACTTGGAGATTGTTCCCAGGTTATGGCATTCATTACTGAACACCCACGTCGGGGGCAGCCAGAGGTCAGATGGAGACCCTCCGGAGGATGTAGGGCACGGGGGACAGGGGCACATGGACACGTGTGTGGGGGAGGTCCGCTCATGTGAAGAAGTGCAATCCCAGATGACAGCGTTGGGAGATGGGCGGATGAGGATGCTGGGCCTTTGTGTACGGCAGGGTGGCCCCTAGCCTGGGCATCCTGGAGGTCTGGGGCAACGCGGCTCCCTTAGACCTGGAGACTTGGGAGAAGGATGCTCCAGGCAGAGGGCCCTAACTCTGCTGGCGTTTGAGAGAGAATTCTGGACCTCCCTCCCCGGGTTTAAAGCCTCCTCCACACCTTCTGCTCTGGCTTTCTCTGCAGCCTCCTCTGGGAGGTGGGCGGTGCACGGGGGCCTTGGTGGGTGGGTGGGGAGCCGGGGTGGGGCCTCGGGGGAGCCGGGGCGGGGCCGCGGAGGAGCAGAGTGGGGCAGCCAGGCTTGGGCTCTTCAAAGATGGCCTCGCTGTGCACTGACTGATTAAAAATAGTTAATACCAGTAAATGTAATAAACCTGGGATTAGCCATCTACCGCTTTTGATATGTCACCAAAACGGGCAGTATATAATTTTCTTTTAAGTATCCAAATTAGTTTCAGACAGAATTGTAGCAGTTCTGCACTTTCGCCATTTTATTAAATTTCTAAGATTGCATCAGTTTTCAAATTTTTGCATTTTTTTCCATTTTCCTAAACAGCCGTTGCTTTTCTAAGTTTGCTGTCTCTTTTACCTACCTTGCAGATACTCATCAGCCTTTTTCCCATTTTCCAGCACATTTATCCTATTGGTGCCTCTGGGTGGCGCAAATAATTAAGAACTCGGCCACTAACCGGAAGTTTGGCAGTTTGAGTCTGCCCAGGGGTGCCTTGGAAGAAAGGCCTGGCGATCCACTTCCCCCAAAATCAGCCATTGCAAACCCTGTGGAACACACTTGTACTCTGACACACATGGGGTGCTGTGCATTGGAGTCGATGCGACAGCAGTGGGGGGTGGTGGTGGGTAGTCTTTTATATCTCATGTCTACTGTGACCTTTTCCAGTGCTGATTCCTGAGAAGCTCAGGATCCCATGGAGAAGCAGGACAGTTCCCTGGGGTTCTGCGTCCCCGTCCTTCACCTTACAGCTGTTGTGGGCCTCCTCGTGCCAGGTGGTGTGGGTTCCAGTCTCTTACTGTAAACCTGTGGCAGCCATGTGTGGTGCCAGTCTTTGTCATTGTGTAAATGTTAGTGAGATTATGAAGAAGGGTTATCCACAGAAGCATTTGGAGTTTTCCAGAAAGATGGGTTCTAGCAGGGCAAGGCTACTGTTTACCATTGAATAAGCCCAAAACCTGACAAAGTGAGGATGAAGCATTGTAGATGAAGATCCCCAAACTATGGCCCATGGGCCAATCCGGCCAGCTGTCTGTTGTTGGAAATAGACTTTCCTGGGAACACAGCCTTGCCCTTCTGCTTCCAGGCTCCAGCTGTCTGTGACAGGCTGCTTTCGAGCTGTAAGGGCATAGCTGAGTAGTTGAGCACAGACACTTCATGGCCCCTAAGCCTAAACCGTTTACTCTGCGGCCCTTTATAGAAAGTCTGCCGACCCAGATGTGGATGGCCAGAGCTTAGATGTGTGGATGAGTTTAAGCTCCACAATGATTGCTTTGCTTTTACATTTATTGTGGTTGGCAAACACGAATTTCCATAAACATGAACTCATGAAGAATAATCTTCTAAATTAATAAATACTGGCAGCGCGGGGCGAGATTTGGGCACTTTCCTAATAATTCTTGTTCATCTGTGGGGGAGCACCCAGGCTGTGGAAGGTGCTGTGGACAGGTATGCGTGGAGGTGCGGTGTGGGAGGTGTGTGTGGGCAGGTGTCATGGGAACAGGTGCATGTGGGAGGTGCAGTGTGGTAGGAGCAGTGTGGGAGGTATGGACAGGTGAATGGGCAAGTGCACAGGGGAGGTGCAGGGGACAGGTGAATGGGCAAGTGCACAGGGGAGGTACAGGGGACAGGTGAATGGGGACGGGTGCACGGGGGAGGTGCAGGGGACAGGCAGTGCAGCGCGCCTGTTGCTGGAAGCATTCAGAATCCTCTTCAAGTTGGCTAGCTGGCAAGGCGAGCTCTTTGAGGAAGAAGGCAAAGCAGAGACTAAGGGGTGATATTTCCAAATGCCGTTATTTTTAAATATTAAAATATGTAAAATATTTTGCAATAGAAAATATTAAAAATCAAAATACGAATCGTATTTCCGTTGCTGTTGACAATTCATGTGGTACCTCCCAAAACGAGGATTTGATTAATGAGGCGCATTGGAATCTGAGCATGGAATTTCACAGGCTTGGGAGTTTTTCAATAAATATGTTTTTTTTCGTTTTAGAACTAATACATTTCTCTTAAATATTTGGATCATGCAGAGAACTGAAAAGGAGATAACATTCCTAACACTACTGCTTCTGTGACCCTTGTGATTTTGTCTTTAAGTTACTTTTATTTATATGGAGACGAGTGTTAAGATAAAGAGGTTATTTTTCATATTTTTATATGGCAGGTATGTGATATAGAATATATGTTATATTACAAGTAATATTTTTATTAAATTGTTACTGCAGTTATTTTAATAATTTAATTAATGATCATTTGATCAATAATTGATTTAATTGTTCATGATAAAAGTAGTTGCTGACTGAGTAGGAACTGTTCTGGATACTTAGCAATCAGTCACCCACAACAATAGTCCATCTTAATCCTCAAAAGAAAAAAAAAAGGTTTGTAAGGTTTATATTGTTGTAGTTGTTGGGTGCCGTCAAGTCGATTCTGACTCATAGTGACCCTATAGGAGAGAGTAGAACTGCCCCATAGGGTTTCCCAGGCCGTAATGTTTAAGGGAGCAGATCGCCAGGTCTTTCTCATGCATAGTGGCGGTGGGTTTGAACCACTGACCTTTCTGTTAACAGCTGAATGCTTAACCACTGCAGCACCAGGGCTTCTTGTAAGTTTTATAGTTAAAGGAACTGAGGCGCAGGAAAGTGATAACTTCACCAGAGCACACAGAGCCTTGGGACCCTGGAGCCTGGAACCCTAACCACTATACTGAGCCACCACCTGGCACTAAAACGGAAGTGGTTCTGGCCCCTTGGCCATGTGGGGTGCCCTGGCCCTGTGCACATACTCGGGAGCCCCAGTGAAGGGTGTGGCCAACTCTGCCAACTCACGCATTCAGTTTATCTAGAGTCCTCTTTTTGACTTCCTGTCTTCCTTTCTGCCCTAGGGTCTACTTTTTTTCCTTTTCATAAAAAAAATCTTTACAGTGGAGAAAGAGAAAAAAAAGAAAAGGCATATAATTTCTACGTTATATTCAGCTTGTAAACAAAAGAAGAAAATGAACCAAATGTGTTATTCTAGACCAACGTTCCCTTCCCTTGCTAGTCATCTGGCTACCCAATCCAATCCATTGCCAACCAGTGATTCCGACTCATGGCGGCCCTATAAGACAGAGTAGAACTGCCCCACAGAGCTTCCTAGGCTGTAATCTTTATGGGAGCAGATCACCTGGCCTTTTCTCCTGAGGAGCGGCTGGTGGGTTCAAACTGTCGACCTTTCGGTTAGCAGCTGAGTGCTTGACCACTGTGCCACCAGGGCTTCTTTGTTAGCTGGCTACCATGATTTAATTTGTAAGAGACCAGGGCTTCATTCTTTTCTTCCTTAGCTTTTGGTTTGCTAGTATCCTGAGACAGAAGATAAATTATAAAATCTGTTGACTTTTCTTCCCTTTGTGTAGCTGTCCAGCTGCTCTTGGAAGTGGTAATGCAGGAGGGGGCTTCTGTGTTAGCCCCAGGGGCATCCGGGAGCAGGGAATAGACTGGTTCATTCATTCATTCACCCCACGAATATCTGAGCACGGCACCTATCTTGTTGGGAGATAGAGGTGTGAAGGAAGCACTGGTCAAGTCCCTGCCTTCATGAAGTTAAAATCCAGCAGGGAGGATGGGTCAGGAGTGCTGGGTGGTACAAATGGTTAAGGCACGTGGCTGCTAACTGAAAGGTTGGAGGTTCTAGTCCACCCAGAGGCACCTTGGAAGAAAGGCCAGGCCATCTACTTTCTAAAGCTCACAGCCATTGAAAATTCTCTGGAGCACAGTTCTCCTCTAAGGCACATGAGGTTGCCATGAGTCAGAGTCAGCTCAACGACAACTGGTTGGTTTTTTTGGTTTTGGGGGGTAAACATTGAATAATCACACAGCAGGGCAAATCTGCTTCCTGTCTAAATGTGGTAGAGGACAAGTGTCATGGGCTTGGATGAATTCTGTTACCCTTTCTTAGCAATCTGGAATCATTCTTTCTGTTGCTCACTGGTGAGTTTGTGTGGCTCGTGGAACAGTTTGGTCTGACCACCACAAGAGAGGTCCTTTAAGATTCATTTTGAGAATTAATGTACACACTGTTTCTCCTTAGACCGAGCCCCTCACTCTGACTCGTGATG